TCGAGACCCGAGCTTCACATCTCGGTTTTGGCAAAGTTTACATGATGCCTTGGGAACTAAATTACATTTTACTTCAGCTTATCATCCTCAAACAGATGGGCAGAGTGAACGAACCATCCTAACCTTGGAGGAATTACTTCGATCATGTGTAATGCAATGGGAGGAATCATGGATTGACCATTTGCCCTTAATTGAGTTTGCTTACAACAACCAGTACCATAGTAGCTTGGGTGTTCCACCATATGAAGCACTTTATGGGAGGAAGTGTAGAACACCATTATGTTGGGATGTAGAAGGAGCAAGGCAAATCTCAGGGCCAGAGATAGTTCAGATCACAGTTGACAAGGTCAAGAAAATCAGGGAGCGGTTGAGGGTGGCTCAAGATCGACAGAAAGTTTATGTTGACACGAATAGGCGTGAATTTAATTTCGAAGTGGGTGAGAAAGTATTTCTCAAAGTGTCACCATGGAAAGGGGTGATGAGATTTGGTAAGAAAGGAAAGCTTGCACCTCGATATATTGGGCCATATGAAGTCACAGAGAAGATTGGACCAGTGGCTTATAAGTTAGCATTGCCTCCAGAACTATCCCAAATCCACAATGTATTTCATGTTAGTATGCTGAAGAGGTACAAAGTGGATCCTTCCCATGTTATACAACCGGAAGAGATCGAGTTGGGTTCAGATTTGACTTTTGAGGAGGTTCCAGTTGAGATTATTGATTTTCAGATTAAGAATCTTCGTAGGAAGGAAATCCCAATGTTGAAAGTGGTTTGGAGAAATCAAGAAAGTGAGAGTGCTACCTGGGAAACTGAAACAAGTATGCGAGAGAAGTACCCTGAGTTAGTAGCAACCTACTTTGCAGGTTAACAATCTTGCCTAATAAGTTATGTTTTGAACTTGCTGATGTGCTTTTGTTGTGATAGCCCAGTACAGGTTTTTGAAACCTAAACGTGGGAACTTGAGGTGTTATGTGTTACTTTCTATGTTATAAATCGCCTAACCTAAGAGTTAGGTAATGACTTTATGTATGATAGACCATGTTAAGGGTAAGTAAGAGGAGTTAGAGTACGACTCAAGGTTAGATTTCGGGGACGAAATCTTTTAAGGAGGGGAGAATTGTAACATCCCGTTTCGGCTAAAATCGTATTTCGATCGCTAGAAAGTTCGCGATTTAAAATCGAGCATTTCGACACTATTTCGACGAAAATCGGATTATCGATCGATCGGATAAGTATACGTATTAATTATATATATTATATAATATTATATATATATATATATATATATATATATATATATGTAAATGCAGTCGGCATATAATTCCCTGTCCATTTCTTCCTTCTTCTTCCATTTCCGAGAGAAACGAGAGAAACAGAGCACGCGCGGAGCTCTCGACCCAAAATTCCAAAGCTCAAAATCTTGAGCCCTAGTGATCCAAAAATCCCGTAAGTAATGCCTAATTCATCTATACATTGTGATTTATCGATTTAGAGCTTTAAAACGAGTTTTTGGTTCAGGAATTTCTTGAATTCCCGATCTGCCAAATTAGGGTTTTGGAGTATCCGGAAGCCGGATTGAGCCCAAATTTCATATACGAGCTTCCTGCAGCGAGGTAATCAATCCCCTAGTTCTAATTCCTGATTTTCGGCTATTATTTAGGCCGGGGTCCAATCCGCTGAATTTAGCTCCGGCCAGGGTTTGATGTGTTTTTATCAAGAATTTGACCCGGAGCCTAGAACTAATATTGACGGGGATACTGCAGGGGATATTAGGACGGTCTCGGATTTTAATTCGGGGTTCGTTCGTGAAATTGATGTTTTAGTACCGAAGGCTAGAACCGGTGTTTGAACGACCAGAACTGGTGAGGGATTAGCACGGCATACCGGGTTTGTCGTATCACGATAATTATATTGATGCTTAGAATTGACCTAGGTGAACTAGAATGGCATGATTAGGGGTGTATGGACTTTTGTGCTATATGTTGAACCCTGGATTGCTGTATGATATTATTGACTTGTCCTAATCGATATGAACCTTGTTTATGCTGATGATTGTGTATATGTTGCAAATTGTGGGCTTGACTGTTAATATGCTTTATGATGGTTCGAGAAGGTGATTAGGTATGATTTTTCATGATTGTTGTATTTGGATGCACAAGTGGGAAAATATATATTCCCTGGTGATAGTATGATGTTTAAGGAGGATGACTTGCACGAGGGTTTATCCCGAGGAAGTGCAATTATACGACTCCTGATTTACCTATGTCGAGCCAATTATGGCCAGGTCAAGTACATGTGCAGGTAACGAATTATGATTAAGCAAGATGAGATATGAATCATGTATAAGGATACCAAATAGGAGTGTTGTGGTCTCACGGTCAACTACATAGTAATTAGGGCTCCCTATGCTATTACTCTATTATGATATGTATGATAGTCACACCTCTCATGTGGTGGTGACTGAAGAATTCTTACGAGATATGACCACACCCAGAGTGGTGTCGGGGTATGACTACACCCATAGTGGTGTGGGGTATGTATGACCACATCCGACGGGATGTTGGGGTATGTATGACTACATCCGACGGGATGTGGGGTATGTTTCCCGGGAGAGTTATTAGCATGGGAGTAGCCAGGCGCCTATAAGTAAAACATGATAAGATGCATATGCATAAGTCAAGGTGGTTGAGTCTTTTGCCTATTGGGATGTCGGAGGGCTGAGATCTGATCCTAGTGCTTTGGCTTGTTTGCTAGATGTATGGTAGTGGTATGCTATGTTATGAACTCACGATGCTATGATTATCTCACTCAGCTATGAGCTGACCCTCTTTATTCTTCTTCTCTGCTTATGCTATGTGTAAGCAGATCATCAGCAGCAGCAGTAGATAAGTGTTAGGTGGGAGAGGAGCTAGAGTTGAAGCCAAGATGAGGTATGGTCTTCAACTATTCTGTGCTTGGACGACTACTTGGGATTTTGGCCAGTGATCCACACCTTTTTGTAAAAATGTTTTGAGAACATTTTCATGTGCATACTAGCTTCGAATGTAGTGTGAGATATCCACAGGTGTGGTAAGTTGATGATATGTGTATATTTTTGTAATTGTGTAAGTTATGACGATTATGGCTTGTATTAGTATGGTATGCAGTTGTGTAGTATGAAACTGTGACTATGGCTATGGAAGTCCATGTATATGGTTGTCATTGAATGCATGGATTCAGATAAATTATTTTGCAGGATAAGTTGCAAGAACTGTTAGCCCATTACGCGAGTAATTCATGTCGAAATTTTATTTGGGTAAATTTTGATAATTAATGTAACGCCCGAGATTAATTCCGCTGCAATTGTATGAACACTATGATTAGGCAAAACGTGTAGGGTAGGGTGTTACAATTAAATTCAAGAAACTATAAGGAAGTGCTAAGTTAGGTGCCAAGAGTGAGCAAGCAAGCCATTGGGAATATCATGATCCTTGAAATGATTCATAAGGTTGATCGCAAGCTAGAGAGAAATGCAAAGGATGTCTCTAATGCCTACAGAAGGTAAAAGCAGTAGTATGAGGTTTTGGCGCTAAGCAACAAGTAACGAGGAGATGACCATTCAGTCGATGGCTAAAGGGAGAGATAAAGAATCTTGGAAGAAAGTAAGAGATTCAAAGTCAGAAGGTACAAGGACCTAGGTGATCTACGTGGTCAACCACATATGAGGTTATGTTAAAAGAGTTTTGCGATATAACAAGATGGAGGTTAAGCCGCCATTAGCAACCTTTGGGTTCTAAGGGGTATTAAGAACGTCAATAGGGATGTGTAATGGATTTTCTCATGCTAAAGGAACCATATATGGTGAATAAGGCATCAAGTGCGCGTATCAAGTGGAGTTATCAAAGAGGAGAATAACGAGACCTATAAAGGGAGAAGAAGTGATACCTAGGAACCAGCATCAGAGTCAATCATTATGCAGATCAAACATGCTCTACAGACATTCTATACCTAGGAGAGTTGTCAGCAGTCAAGATAGGGAGGACGGTTCAAGGTTTGAGCCTGTTACAAGCTGAAGTTACGATGAGGCATGACCTGAATAGCTGGCTAATAAATTATTTCCTTAAGTTCTTAAGGAATCCTAAGTAGAGACCCAAGACAAATAGTTGCGAACAACAAGAGCTACGAATGCCATTACACCATCAGAGGCATTTAAGAAGGGAGAGTGCCATAGTGTCATAGACGCATTGAGCAAGTAACTAGCTTGAGCAAGAGATTTATGAAAAATGGGTGAGTAAGTAGTTGGCGAAGAACCACACGAATGGGAGGAAAGGGTTCATAGCTCAAGGTTGTACAAGGTAAAGGAAGTATACATCTTAGTAGTAGAAGAATTTCTTCAAGTGAGACCTTAAGTTGTCGAGGTGCACAAATTTCGAGGTCTATATTTTCCTTAAGGAGGAGGGAAATGTGAAATCTCAGTCGAGGCAAGCACTAAATGTGAATCTCAGTCGAGGCAAGCACTATCAACCGCAAGGTGTCACTCACAGTCTAAATTTCGGGGACGAAATTTTTATAAGGGTGGAGGAAATGTTACATCCCGCTCTTCCCAAAAGTCAAAATGACTATTATACCCTTGGGTCAAGTTCCACCGTATTATCAATGAGGATTAAAAATGTGAACTATCGGTTCAAGCGGGGTCGAATTTCGACATAAAATGAGAAAATTGCGGACAGTAATTGAGTTTCAGATTAAACTTACCCGTAATTATGAAATTCCCAGAATAACCGAAAGAAAAAAAAATCTAGGCCCAACCCTAATCCCATTCCCTACGTGGTGTCATCAGCACAAAAGCCGCCCACGTTCCTTTCTCTCGGATTTCCTTCTGCCGAGATATAGTCGACTATCAATGCAAGGGGACTCGGATGCGTGCCGATTTTGCTCCCTAGCATTGTGCTTCAATTCATCAGCGCATGGGAACTCGTCGACCAACCCTATAAAGCTTCCGTCGTGTTTCCCCAACTTTCTTTCTCCTCGGTACAAGCAGGAAGGAAGGAAAATCAAATAGAAATTGATTTCCTGGCAAGGCTTTGGTGTTTCTTTCTTTTACTTTGCTATTTCTCTGTCGGCGTACAACAGAAGAGAAGAGAAAAGATGGCGCTGCAGACTGCAGTTATTCTTCACGGCAGCTTTATCGGCCGCTCCTTTGACTCTGTACATACCGCCTTTGAGAAGCACGCAGGAGGTGATATGGGAAACAACGGTCGGGCGTGGGTGACCTGCATGACAAATGAAATTGGGTCAGCCGAGCAGCACTTTGACTTGGCAAATGAAAGGAAGCAAGCAGCAGCTCTTGAAATCGTTTTAAACGTCTAAGCAAGCTGCTCTCGGTGGTGGTTTGTACTGGCTCTCGACAAGGTAGCCGGTCAAGCAAAGTGGTCAATTAATTGGAAACAGCATAGCTAGGGAGAGGCGGATAGTTTTGCGATCGGGGAAAGAAATCAGTTGCAGCGGCGGTTTTGGTGAAGGCGAGGAGTGGAGGAGCTAATGGTCGACAAAAGACTTCTAAGCGACTAGGTAAGCTACTCGCGGCTATGTAATTAAAATCCCATGACAAGTGGAAAGCATGATTGTGACGTGTGTAATGGAATGCAAGGTAGCTTAACTGCTCTAAAGGGATTGGAATTGATGGAAGCAAGTATGGATTATGATAAAGCAAGTGTCTGGTAACAATCAAAAGAGTGGGACGTGTTCTATCCCCAGTTATTGATGGAATAGAAGATTGAGAAATTATGTATGGACGAGTACAAAGCTTTTAAGGACGCTTGGCGTCGGCTATAAAGTCGATAATCCAATGGCTAAGGTGAGTGTAAAGGGGGTAAATTCTACGCCTTACGGTTTTTCAAGTATTTGCTTTGAGTATTTTTTAAGTATTGATTTACGTGATGTGCGTGCCGTATTTGATTCATGTTTGATATTACATGATTATGTTTGATTATTTGTGCTTTGCTTGAGCTGTGATTTGAGGTGATTTTGTGCTATTGACCTTAAAGCTTTGTGTTGTGGTTAATTATTAGAATTTAAGAACCAAGTTCTTTTTAAAGAAGTAACTCACCTTCAAGAAGGGGAAGTCGTTTTAAGTGTTTTTGAGATCATTTTAAGTGTTTTTGTGCTATTTGAGATTTTCAGATAGAGCAGCAGTTATGCTCTTGAGATCGTTGAGACAGAGCAGCAGTTATGCTCTTGAGACCTTTAAGATGGGCAGCAGTTATGCCCTTGAGAACCGTGGTGAAGAGCCACCACGATAAGTTTAAGATGTTAGGGGGATGAATCGTTACGACTTCCCTAACTAAGTTTAAGTTTAAGGAAAGCCTAGATGGCTTCTCATACGTATGAGTTGGCAACCGAACTAGCTAGTGAGGGATCCCCGTGTCAGTCAAGTATTTAAGTCAAGATTTGAGCTTTAAGAGAGGAGAGTAACTTCAACTCCCTCAAAGTTTAAGAGTTAAGATTTTAAGATTGGAAGTACAAACAACTTCCACTAGTCAAAGTTAAGTGTTTAAGTAAAGTATCCAAGTATTAGAATTATTAACACATAAGGGCGTAGACTGACCCCATCTCACTCACCAGTACCTAGTAAAGGAAAAAGCGAGAATTAGATCGATAGTTGCAGCTAGAGGAGCAGTTAGAGAGCAGCGAGATCGAGAAAGCTGTTTGAGGCAAGCCAGCTAGAGGAGGTTAGTACGAGTGTCACTGGAGGTGCCAGAGATCGAATCTGAGCAGACAACAAAGTAGAGTTTTAGTTATTGCTTTACGATTATGAGTAGTGACTGGAGATTCAGATTAAGATTCTATGGTTGAGGTTTGCCCAAGTGTTAGGGCTTTGTTTTAAGAGATTTCAGTTTATTTCAGTATTTTATTTATGAAAAATTTTCCCACTATAATTTTAAGGGTCGAGTATTTTATTTTTCAAGGGCATTTTAGTAAAAGTAGTACCCGGCCGGGTTAGGGTGTTTCATGTAACGCATCACTTTCAAGATAAAAAGATGTCGGATGCACCTTCCGGTCCTTCTGGATGGCATAGTACTTGAACAACCTGTTAGCAACATAAATCCACAACCCAGCATCCTCTTGCCCATTGAATTTGAAAAACTTGGTCGGAGAATTTACCCTAAAAACCGGTTCACCATCAACACCATAAGCAGAATAATGACCTCCAAACATATAGTCCATGAACCCACCTGGACGACTCTGCAGGTGACCCAGTCGTTAATAATCTCGCCCGTTCGGTGGCGGGAAGGTCCAGCATCCTCGCCCTCAAAGTGATTCTCCACTCTAACTCCTGAGCTTTTCCCATCCTCCTAGTAATGTCCCAGTCGCTTCGCCCCATGCTCCAATGTCTTCCATGGCGGATACGGCCCCTCGAACATTCGTTCCCCTCTTGCTTTAGGAATCGATCCGCCTATCCTCAAACCAGTTGTTCCCTTCGGTCCGAGTAGCCACCGACCAGTTAGATTCCCTACCTCTCGAGCCGGGTTTGATTCGATCAAACTTGGTTTGAGCAATTTTGATTTGTTTCGAGTCGGTCCAACGTCTCTTTGCTTGGCTTGCTATCCTAATCAGGTGACCATTGGGCACAACGACCCACTTAGGGATGGCAATGGGGCGGGTTTGGGGCGGGTTTGCTTAAACCATCCCCATCCCCATCTTCAAACACCCAAACCCATACCCGCCCCATACCCATGCGGGGGAATGTTTTGGAAACCCATCCCCATACCCGTGGGTTTCGGGTACCCATGGGTAATACCCATCCCCGTACATCCAACTTTATTATACCTAAAACTTACAAGAAAAGTTTTAATTATAACCATAAATAAACCTATATATCATGAAGTCAACAAAACACGGTCATTTTCTAAATACGATTCAAAGAATATGATCCTAAAACATCCATTAATACATAATATAGACTATAATATTTTTAAATTATTATGCTCTAACTCTTGATACATTTACTAAGTAATAATTAACTAACATAATCTTGTTGACAAGGGGGAAAGTGAAAGAGTGGAAGGAGAATTGAGGGAAATGAATTAGGTTTTGTTTAAGGTGGTTACTCAATTGCATTTCTATTATTTATTTTCTCGAGTTATCTTCATCATCATTGATAGATTACAATTTAATCCACATATTTTTTGATATGTGAAGAAATTCTCTTGGTGGGGCGGGTATGGGTATGGGTATGGGGCGGGGGAGGCTAAAACCATACCCGCCCCATACCCATCAAACTTTTTGCGGGTTTTACCCATACCCGCCCCATACCCGGTCAAAGCGGGGATTCCCCGCATTGACTGGGTCGAGGGCGGTCGGGTACCCGCGGCCATGGGTTTGATTGCCATCCCTACCCACTTATCTGCTCGGTCTTAGGCCAAGCTTACTCATAGCCCACAAAACTCATCTCATCCATCTCGCGAACCGGATGCTCTTTAGGCCGCGGCCCAGATGACTCTCATCATCTTCCAAGCCCACCGAGGCATAGCCCAACATCTTTTCCTTTGCCCGGATTGGCGCTACTTTCTTAGTTGTTGTAGCTGGAAACAAGCCTAAGGATGTTTTGAGCCCTCCAGAACGCTAGCCTGTGCTCTTCCCCGTCGTGGCAGCCATGGTTTCTCTCGTGCCTCCACCGCCCTCCACACCGTTTTTCTCCTTGGCGACTGGCTCCACCTCAGTCGGTGCCTCTAGAAGTCCTAGCGCAGCGATCATCCATCTATGTGTTGCCCGGACCTCTTCAACTGCCGCGTTCAAATTCGCCCACCCGTCTGACAACCTTGCCATCTCGAGCTTCATCTCTGAGTTCTCTATTGCCAACTTCCTCATATCTTCCTTGACCGTGTCTAGGTTTGTTAGGTCTTCCACCTCGACATCCCGCGTTGCAGGGACTATAACCTATGCAGGCTTCTCCTAGGCAGCTTTCTTTACCTCATTTTCAACTGCGGTTCTTGACTTAGTTTACGCCATTGAATTTCTTCGGTCTAGTCCCCGGTTGAGAGTTGTGATGATCTCGATCTTGCAACTAGATTCTGATACCACTGTAAGAAACAAGTCCTAGCAATTCCAGACTTAGGGTTTGTAATTGGGGAGAATTTGAATGACAAAAGGGAAATTAGGGAAGATTGGTAGGTGGACATGAAAAGAAGAATTAGAAGAAGAGGAAAAAAAGAAAGAGTTGAAGCTCAAGGAGAGAAGTGGTCGGACATGGGGGAAGAGAGGGAGAGCGAGAAAGATGAGAATTAAGTTTATTGTATTTTCTTATAATAATTGCTTAATGGAAAATATCATTCAACTCACATAGTATAAATCCAAAATAATTTCCTTTTGCTATCAAAAAAATAACTTAGAACCCCAATAGATCAATGATACCTAAAATCCCAAAAAAAACAAGCAAAGTGATAAACTTAATTAAAATAAAAAATTGGGACAAAACTTAATTAAAATAAAAAATTGGGACAAATCTCCAAATAATACAAATTGCTAATTATTCCCCAAACTCCCAATATTTCTAACAATTAGTAGCTTGAGGATCAAAGATCACAGAAACTGAGAAGCTTCTTAATACGTATTTTCCATATGGTAATTGCTTGAAAGAGAGCCTTTTATTCAACTTCCAAGAGGAAATCCTTTCATATTTGGAATTCACTATGGCTTCAAGCATATCCATTGATGCTTTGGTAAAATCATTTCTACTTTCGCGGCTCACTACACTTCTTACAGGCTTACAAAAGCCAGTCAGTGTTAATGCCAGATAAACCAAATGAAAATAGAGGGTAAATGCCACATTTGGTTATTGAGATTATTAAATCGTGTCGTGTTTAGTCACTAGGAAAATTTAATATTAATTTTGGTCACTCAAATAACTGAAACATGTCACATTTGGTCACTCTTCTGTAACCTCTGTCCAACTCCGCTCACTCAAATTATTGAACCATGTCACATTTAATCACTCGAATTACTGAAACTGGTCACATTTAGTCACTCTCCCGTTAGTTTCCGTCCAACTCCATTCGAATTACTGAAACTGGTCACATTTAATCACTCTAATGGAGTTGACGGAAACTAACACGAGAGTGACTAAATGTGACCAATTTCAGTAATTCAAGTGACCAAAATTGATATTAAAATTTTCTAGTGACTAAACATGACACAATTTAGTAATCTCGGTGACCAAACGTGACATTTACCCGAAAAATATAGTAATTATTAAATTATTGAAGAAGGGAATGTTGCAATAACAATGACTTTTGATTATTACAAGATCAATCTCATGAATACAATAACCAGAAGCTACAAGTTGTTGTAAGTAGTCAACGAAGTAGTTTAATTCCCCCCTCCCTCATCGGCAGAGATATAAGAGCAAATGAAAACTGCAGAACCCTATAGTGTAAGCCAACTAAGACCCAAAATTGGCTGAAACCTTTATAGGAAGATAGCCAAGGTTCCAACTAAATCTCACTTGAACTAGCTACCGCTCTAAGAACAAACCAGTTCTCTCTTGACGGTCAAGAAAATAATTTTAGTAATTCAAGCTGCTGGTATGATTACGCAAATTGCCAAACTGCACAGCTATACAATACAGCAACACAACCTCCTTTTGAACTTCAGTTGAGCTTCCATAATAAAACACACACACAGTCGTGTATTAGAAAACAGTGATCGCACATACCACAGGATATGGAGTAACTGTATTGCCAACTGATTTCTCGACTCTGTTATCATTCATTCATTCACAGGCTGGTTTGGTATCAAAGCTGCTGAGGCAGAGTGCAAATGCTTGAAATGCAGAAAGCGGGTAGCTATAGTCCATGCTGAATATGTCTTTACCAATCTTCCCAAACTGTAAAAGGACCCTATCGTGTTCTGCAGCTGGCACATTGTGGTGGTGGGGCTCACATGCCGCAACAAGTTGGAAATTCTTAACGGAAGCAACTGTAACTCGCCCCCTGAAGTTCAAGCACCAACATTGAAGCTGCTCGTGCCACCTGGGAGCCCTATTTTTTAGGATTAAAGGCTCTCCTAGTGAGCCAGGGATTACCATTGGTGACTCTGATGGGCTGTTGGTGGAACTGATATCTGACCCTGCTCCTCCACTGCTTCCTTTGAAGACTGGTGAAGGAGAGAACTGCTGTTCATCAGCTGCTGTCTCTGGCAGTGATGCTGTTGTTGGGACACTGCCACCTTCCTCCACGGAAGAGACTGGGATAGAGTTCATGACACAATGCATTCTTCTCGGCCCTCTTGTGCGGAGGACGTTCAGCTCGTAGTTGATTGTGCCTATGGTGTAGCTAGAGCTGGGTGTTCGAGAAGATGGCTGTCTGGAATGGAATCCATTGCGGCTTGTCCGCTTGCCAGATTGTGTTGGAGCTTCATGTGAAGATTGCCTATCCAATATGGTGAACTTAGTCCCCAGGAAGTTTGACCTACATGGATTGATTCAAGATAAGTGGACTGCCACGCTAATAACTGATTCAACTAAATGGTGTCTCAGGTTGATCAAACAACCAACTTCTCAATTGAATGCATCCTCCCAACTTCTAAAATTAACTTTCAAAATCTAGTTTTTGAATTTACTTACAAATAAGAGACCACCTAATCATTTCACAATCATTTACTTATTTTCGTTCTTTGTTTCAAACACATCCACTTCTGATATTTGCTTGAGTCGTCCAATTGGGACCAACTAGTAAAAATAAATACGATATTGAACTTGCCTGAGTCTTCCAATGTAGTTGTTGCTGGAGCGAGAAAAATCATTTGCAACCAGAGATATAATGAAATCCGTGCAAGTTGTCCTTCTGATTCTCTTTGCTACCAAAAGCAATTTATCCTTCTTGCCCTCAGCTGCAAAACAAGAAACACCATTGTTTAGGTTAAGGGCCACCTAATGTCATTTCAAGAGAACATGTATTCTACAGAGCTTTCTGGGTACTTGGGATTCTTCTTACAAAGATGGGACTGCAGCCAACAAGGTATCACCTGCTGAAGCGTATCCCTCTTTGTTAAATGAATCCCCTATAGTACATTGAGCTTATAGAGAACTTTGATCCAGAGCGTAATAGTTGAAACACTATGGGTATTTGAAAACCACTCAGACCACAATTGCCATCAATAGTAGACGAAATAAGAGGGTGAAAGAATCGACAACTTACAAGGCATTAATCCGGAATACAACAGAAACGTGGAGGTCAGAGGATCCCTTCTGATGTAGCACTGTATTGGAGACTCACGAGGACCCGGCTATTTCAAAACCAACATTATTTTAACCAATTAGATCAAACAAATTAAACTGAAATCACGTAAATCCTATAAGAGAATATTGGATTAGACTAGAGCATTCACCTGTTTCAATGAGATTGGGAATGTAAGCCTCCCACACTGTTCAGGAGTCTGCACAACTTCCCTTGTAACTTCTCTCCACGACTTACAAACTGAAGCACAATGAACAACAACAGCACGAGCAGGCCACGAGGTCTCGGTCTCTTCCACCCTCCTGATGATGTCCAAGAGCAATTCAGGGGGCAAGTTGGCCCACTGGCCTTGCTCAATGGATTGTTCAGATTCAACCATTGAAGTTTCATCAGGAGCTATATGTGACCGTGCCCTGCCTCTCCACCGCTTTCCTTCACCACCTCGGCCAGACCTACTCCCAACCCCATCTTTCATCTCCTTCAGCTCACGAACAATGCTCTTGAATGGCATCCTTAACTTGCACATGGAGACAAAGATGAGCAAAACACAATCCCAACGCCAATTCAAGATCTATGCGACTGGGTGAACCCAAAACTAAATCAGCCCCCTCGACAAAAAGAAAGGAAATTGAAGAGCAAGACAACTTGGATTGGCCACTAAAACAAGAAAGGTGTTCTCTGTTCTCAGTTGCAAGGGTTGTTTCCAGAACTGGAGGGGGGGAAATAAGGAACTCAAGAGAAGTACTACATTGTTAAGCACGACTGTTAACCAGGGCAGGACAAATTCCCCCGAAAGTCAGACATTTCTCCACCAAAGAGTCGAAAGGGGAAAATGCCAGGACCTGGAATATTCGTTTATCGAAACTTCTGAACTCCCTCCCCTTTTTGTTCTCGTCGAAACAGTCGCCCAGAAAAACAGACCCCGTAAGACAAGACGGAGCGAAACGAAAAGGAGAACAAATGCAAGAAGAACTCCACAGAACCATGGGCCCAAAAATAAGATAAGAAATTAGAAAACTGGAAACTGAGTCGATTCGAACACAGAACTAGAACAAAAACAAACAGGAAGAAAAAAAAGAGACCAACCTCAATAAAACGTAATTGCAGAAGCGAATCGGCTCAATCGAGATTAAATCTGTTTGATTTGCTGAGAATCGCGGAACGCTGGGAGAGGGATGTGGGGAAGCTTCTGAAGTAGAAGGAAGAGCTGGAGTTCATATGAGGTGGAAAATGCGACGGTGGCGAGCTTTTACAATAGCACTGCCAGAACGGAGGATGAGAACGGCGGCGACCAGCAGAGCAGCTCCACCGGAGAGTTAATTACGTTACGAGTGAGGTCTCTGCCCTGACTCGGAGCCACGCACCAGATGTGTGAGTGGGTGAAGAGGAGGGGGGACGTAGCCAAGGGAGTAAGAAGGCGGAGAAGTGATTGAAAAACAAGAGACGAGAGGAGAGAGGTCCCCCGATTTCGGCTGCCATAACACGGATCGCCTCTTCATTCTCCTTCCACTTCTCTCCTCCTCGCCATTTTCTTGGCTTTGAAAAATTCTGCAAATCCGTTTCGGAATCACATCAATTAAAAATAGATAGATGGTTCATATATATATATAAAAAAAGCCGATAATTAATTAAAAATTCGAAATTAATGTGAGGGCCAAAATGCAAACGACATTATGGAAAAAAAGGGAGACTGGGACCTGGATCGGCAGAAGGAGATAGGGACCTGGATCGGCTTCGGCTATATTTACCCGAGTTTTTGGTTTTGCAGGGACAGGGAATCCAGCCACCCAAGCCGGATGCGGGCGAAGACGTAGCGGTATGGTGTCCTCAAGCGGACGAGCGATTCCAGGTCTGATCAGCCTATGAGATCGCGACCAGCCAGGAGATCGCCGAACTGGAGTTTGACTAGTGCAGGAAGATATGGCGTTGGCATGGCCCGGCTCGAGTTCAACACTTCCTCTGGCTAGCGGCGCGACGACATCTTTCGACATATGCGTTGTGCTCTCGTTGCTCTACACTTCCAGAAACATTCCTGTATGAGTTGCGTGACTGTCAATTTGTCAGTTTAACTTGGATGCGACTGCTCCAACCTTCTAAATACGAGCTGTTTATTCAGGTTTTTCTTGCATGAATGGATCACAAAACGCCTCAGCCATGCGGAACTCAGCAAGCGATTTGGCCTCGTATGTTGGTCCCTGTGGAGGACTAGGAATGATTGGGTTTTCGCGAACAAAGTCATGTCAGTTGAAGACTTTCTTCAGCGCTTCCAGTCTTGAATAACTGTCGTGAATACTTCCTTGGATAGGGACATGAGCATCCATATACCTGTCTCGCCCACAAGAACTAAGGAGCTGATTTGCTGGGAGTCGCCTCCTCTTGAGTGGGTCACTCTCAACTCAGACGGCTCCGTACTTCATGATTTAGGTCTCGCTGCTGTAGGAAGCCTAATAAGAGATTATATGCGCTGCTCTGCAGCCTTCGCTATTAACCTGGATATATACGCTATTACCCGGGCGAAGTTGAGAGGCGCTGCTGGAGGACTTCAACTGGCGTGGGACATGGAATTTAGACGTGTCCGGGAGGAGATGGACTTCCGGTGTGCAATCCAACTCATATAGGGCTCGACCACCGTGGACCACCAGCATGATGCGATCATTGCACGTATTAGGACACTGCTACTGCCGAAAAACTGGGAAGTCTATACCTCCCGTATTTACAGAAAGGGTGATCATGCTCTGGTGCGCCCATATTTATAATGTCGAAGCACACTCTCTAATCAATCCTAACTAAGCCAAGTATAACCTAACTAGGGTTGTAGTAAAGTGGCTCGGTCATATTACAAGTGATCCCTAAGTGTATTATCACTTCGCTTCGAACTACTATCTAATCGGGATGGAAGTTTGGTGAGGAATTTTAAATAAATTAACCTACTCCTAATGCAAAATAAACAACCAACCAAGTGGTTGGGAGAACGCTAGAGATGGTTGCCTAAAGTCGAATTCTTCTAGTTAAGGTTGTAAAGTAGGGTTAATCGAATGTGGTGAATTATCTCTTTTCCGTGGACTTTCGTGGTTATCCACACACCTCCAAGTACGCCTCCCCTAACCCATGTTCCAGTCACCTCGATCTAGACTATCGTATCTAGGGCATTAAACTTATGGATCATTTCAATGGACACTATCCACTGTCCACACTAAGGTTTCATCCCGGGTTTCATCTAGGAAGGCTACTTATAGCAGGGGTTCGGTCGCCTCGACCACTATAGGCCCACATTCACACATCTAACCAAAACTCACCAGATGGCGCATACTCGTCTAAACTCGACCACTATAGGTCTCCTTCACGAGATCACGTCCACGATCTTTTGTGTCCCGACGCGATCTTTATCGCGGCAAAAACGCAATGACCGCGATCTGTGTGAGGAAACTCTCTGCCTTCTTCTTGGTCGCCTGTTGGAGATCGCTGCAACATGATAGAAAAATCAATGGAGAATGCACCCTATTTCTTCATTGCATAAAGAAGAGTAAACAGAGATGAATGAACGCTAGTATAATCTCACTGTGTAATCACAAACTTGCGGGTGAGGACTATACCTACTACCTTAGGCCGGACATACAAAGTGTGCTCCGGGGGATTCTCTGACACTAATAAGCACAAGAACTCACGAAGATGATTTTTATTCTTTCTTACGATTACGAGTTGTCGTTTATTAGTCTCATTTTTCCACGTTGACGCGTATTTCACCAAGCTTTTGCAATTATTTTTGCAAGTAAACCTCTCGCCCTCATGACTATAGGTGTCAATCGGGCAAGTTTGGGCGAGGTTCAATCGGGTTGTGGGTTAGTCGGGTTTCAGGTTCATCGATTTACAGGTTCATTGGGTCGAGTTCAATCGGGTTGCGGGTTCATCAGATTCAGGTTCAATCGGGTTGCGGGTTTATCGGGTTTCAGATCGGGCGAGTTGCGGGCAGATCGAGTTGCGGGTTGTTCGGATCAACACATGGAGTTAATTACTTGTTACCAACTTACACATTTTATTATACTAATTTAAAATATTTTTTGCAATTTTTAACGAATTTCTTTCTACCTCGCGGTGCCTTCTACGGTACACTGGGTGAAATTAGGGGTACTGCATACCTTGAGATAAAAACGTTATCTAGACCTCGAATTAGCAGGACTTTTGTGCATGATACTATACGCTAACCCTTAATGAGTGAACCCTAGGTCTTCATTATCTAAATCATAAACTATAAACCCTAAGATAGTGCATTGATATTTTTGCCTATATTTGGACGAATCATAACCATCGATTATTGTTTCTAATTAAATTGATCTTGGGGTATAAGATTTGGAGAAGTAAGACCTAGATTTTGATCTTTAAGGGTTAGAGTATAGTATCATGTCCGAAAGATCAGTCAATTAAAGTTCTGGATAGCATTTTCTTACTCAAGGTATGTAGTACTTCGGATTTCACTCTGGGTACCGTAGAACTCCCCCTACCTCGTATATATACTTAATTTAAAAAAAAAATAGTCAAAATATTGAATTAATTTGTGTTGAATTAGTTTTCTATTCTTTTAAATGATTGAGTTATGGCAATCGTATAACTTGTAATCTTACAATATAATTAATCACAATTGGTAAAGTACACTAGTTAATAGTTATAGTCAGATCAACATTTCCATCCAATAGTCTTACAGCCACAAATTAAATGGTGTACATGACACAAATAATTCAAAACTCATATTCAAGTTAAACAAAAACTTAGAATAGTGGTGTAAGATATGTAATTATGTATAACTTCAATACGTACATTGCTCGAGCTTAAGTCAATTTAAGCTTATAAAAGAACTTAATTGTATGTTTGCAAACCAATTTGATTAGCTCCAAACTGGCCTAATATTTGTCATATATCTTGTAGGTTGTTTATATTACACACCTTTGAACTTACTGACTTATAGTTAGTGATGTAACTCGTAGGCTAGTTATACTACATATTTTAGGATTTAATTTGGTTTGAAATTCTGCAAACCAATTTGATTAGCTATTCATTATCAAGCTCCTAACTGGCCTACTATTTGTAATATATCTTGTAGGTTTATATTACACACCTTTGAAGTTACTGACTTATAGTTAGTGATGTAACTCGTGAGGCATTTTAGTGTGCTTTATAGTATTGGTACTATAAAACATTTACAGCCATTAGATCATGTCCAAACTATATCAACCATTAGATTTCATTTAAATTATTATTTTATTATTTTATTTGTGGGTTGTAACCGGTACAACCGGTTGTCTGAAACCAATTACAATCCTTCTTCCTTCGATCCTCTTTCTCACCTCTTTCTCACCGCCGAAACCCTTCCTTCCTTCGATCCTCTCCACGCAGCTAGCGAGCAGTGAAGACGGCGACAGTGAAGACGGCGAGCAGTGGGTGGCGACGAGTGAAGACGGCGAGCAATGAGTGACGACGAGTAGAAGAAGCTTGTCGATTTCAGCGATACGGATTCCGGATTCCGACGACGACAGTGAAGGCGGCGAGCCGGATTCCGACGACCACAGTGAAGGCGGCGAGCAAGGGACGACGAGAGCGAGCATCTCTTCGTCGATTGCAAACGAAGACCCTCTTCCCATCGATAGCAAACGAAGACTCTGCACAGAACCCCCTCTTCCCATCGATAGCAAACGAAGACCCTGCACAGAACCCCCTCTTCCCATCGATAGCAAACGAAGACCGCTGACCTACCTCCTCCACCGCAACTTTTTTCGGTTAGTATGCCTATCAGTTCTACAATTTTATTCAATTTTCCGGTTAGTATGGCTATCAGTTTAGGGATTATGTTGGGATGTTCTAGATTTACACATTTCGGTAGGGGGATTGAAATTCCATGCTCGTTTTAGGTTTATGAGTTTAATTGGTCATGTCCTTTGACCAGGTTGATGTCCTTGTACTATCTTCTTTGTGTTTAGCTTGATAATTAGCTATATATTGACTGATTTAGTGTCAAAGCAAACTATCAATTCACATATGGGACCTGCTTGTTGATGTCCTGGTATTGGTTTAATTGTGTACCTCATAGATGTAGGTCGATGTTGATCGAAATCCTTCTGAAAGCCATTGTAGTTCATCTTGTAGACCATCTTATTGTTTACACAATTACGAGTGAGTTGGTTGATTCTAAACTTGTCATGATAAGTAGCATGTTCTACTTCTGCTGGTCTATTTTCCTTGGTGTGGTTGTGTCTCCTGTGGGAAGGAACATGTTGTCAATTCCAAAAAGCTTCTTTTCATATGGGCAGAGAGGTCTTTGTCAAAGCAACGTGGTGTAATGTTGTTGTTGGTTGCTCCTCTATTAACCATACAGCCATAGATTTCCTGCTACTAAAGTTCATTGTGAGTTGATTTACACATTGAAGCTTGAAGGGAGGGTTGTGCATGGTTGTGGTTGCCTTGCTGGGTAGTGAACAATTTAATCATGTACCAAAGAGGAAAATGCTTGTCACCAAGAAAACTCACACTTGGTGAAAGAGCCTAGGAAATAGCATGCATGAACCAAGCAAAGATCATGTGTTCTTTATGTGGTTTTCCACCATAGCTAAATGCTATCTCATGAAAATGATATCATAAATTAGTTTTGGAAACTTTTTTTGTTTACTTTTTCATAAATGGAAACTCCATTTCACTTGGAAAACCGGTGTGAGTTGCACGTGTCGAGAGAGCTATTGCCTTGTTGAGTTACATAATCTTCATTCCAAGCATGCGATTCATCTTGTCTTTGTGAGCGCTGGGAGAGGAGTCCTAATCATGTTCCCATTGTGGTTAAGCTAGCAACTATTTGTAGTATGGTTGTTGTGTGGATGTATTCTAGAAAAGGGTAATCGAAGCATTTGTCTTCTGTGATTCTTTGCATGAGCTTTGCATTAGTCTTATGTGATTCTTTGCATTCATTTGAGCTTTTTATTTCGTTTGAATGCTGGCTCCGTCTACGTTTATGTGATTAGTACTTCAGTTTACTATTAGAGCAAGATTGTGATGCAATTGATAGGTTATGCCGTGATTCATCAAGTGAACCTTGGACTTCTTCTCCTCATGCTTAATCATTAGTTCATTCTTTTATGAATTCTAGTATTATTTTTCTGATTAGAGATTCATCTGTAAAAATGCACTTCTCACGGCTCATCTGTAAATATCATGGGCGTGAGATTAACCCGTGATATGGTCACAGCTGAAACTCAAAAACACGCCTCACATCTGAAAATCTCACGGCCGGGAGATGTACCGTTAGATTTTTTTAAAAAAGGGGGGGAGTTCCAGGGGTTTTCACGGGTTGGGTTCGACAGTATCACGGCCGTGAGATGAGCCGTGTTTGTGTAATTGAAATGCTGGACTTCTCACGGCTCATCTGTTAATCTCACGGGCGTGAGATTAACCCGTGAGATGGTCACAGTTGGTTTTGGCGTGATTCACCAAGTGAACCTTGCATTCCAGTATTATTGTTCCCAACCATGCGTGATCTCAAAAAAAGTTGCTCCAATCTGACCTAGCTAGCAATTGTGTTCCTTCCTTTATGCATGCCAGTTTTAACTTTTTGATTGGAGAGACTTGATTTGTGTTTTATGGAGGCAAATCGAATAGGAAAGTTCATACTCAAAGTTTGATTCTTTTCAGTTTGGCTTGAGACAAGTTGGATTGTTGTTTGCCTTCAAACTGAGTCTGCAGAGAAAATTTTGGAAGAGTTGATTTGGTCTTGTTGGTATTGTAGTGTCGTTACCGTTGCTTGTTGATTACATTTTGGACTGTTAATTGAAGGGTCTTGCTTGGCTGCATGAAAGGTGCAATTGAGTGTGTTAGTCAAGAATTAGTTCATGAAATCAGGGTGACTTGAGTTTTAGCCAGTTTGGATGGAAATAGAGCGAGTGTTTATGGTGGTGTCATGGGTTATGGAAAGCTTAGTGGCTATGCTCGTGGTCATGTTATTTAGCTCTCAAAAGTTGTAAGTTGTGTGTGGTTTATGATTTTTGTCCAAAAGAACATGGGCGGGTTTAGATGTAGAAGGGAGCCTTAGAACAAAACAGAAGAAAAGAACAGGGGCATGGTGTCTGATTTTCCAGGTTAAACCTTTTTGTTTGTTTATTACAATCTCTGAAATCTGTTTTTTGAACTAGCCTTGGATTTAGATATGATATGAATCTGGTAGCTAAAATGACTAATGAGAACAACCATAAGCTAAATCCATAATTGCAAACAAATAGTAGTTCTGAATACATCAACAAGCATCACAGCCATTATTTTGAAACTCAGATTTGAGCATATGCAGCTCTTCTTCTTTGAAATACCCAACTATATTTGTTTGTACTGGTTTTATAGAAACAAGTTGGCCACTGTAGTTGAAAAGAGATGATTATACGATTTGATCGGGGACAAACCTTGTCCTTTTGCTTGGTAAGATCGTCTGTGAATAGATGATTAAACCTTTTCTTCTATTTTGCTTATCTCATGAAAAGATATTACGGCTGTGAAATTTCAAGAATTAGCCGTGAGAATGTTTAGTGGGTGTTTTTAGTTTCATGGCTTATTTTAACGGTCGTGATTTATGAAGCCAAAGCCGTGAGATTGTCTGGGGATATGAAAACTACTCTTTGCTTCTCACGGGTCATGTCACGGCCGTGAGAATTTGCATTTTGGGTGAAATTTAATGAAAGCTGGGTGTTTTGGGTGAAATTTATATATGCCAATGGCGGATTTCATGGTTAATTAGTGTACTCAGGTGTTGATGTAGGGGGTTTTCAGTTCTTCTGGTAGTTAGAACTTGATATCGAGGCAAGTGTGCTTGTGAGCTCTGGTATAGTCTTGCATTTGTTCAATATTGATAAAAGCCATATATTGAAAACCAGGATTGAACTCATTACCTGGAGAATGTGTTTACCGAATGATTAAATGATCCTTTTCTCGAATGAAACTTTGTCATAACCACGTTTTCTCCAATGTGTTTAAGTGTGAAAACTGAAAGTTGCTTCTTTAGATCAGTGGTGGACGACTCTTGCTTTGTGTATTTTGTTAGTACTCTTCGGCATGCTTATAATTCGTGTTTCAAGGCATGCTTATAATTTTTTTGTTGTTTTAATTTTGCAGTTTGCTAAAATTGTTCTATAATGAAGACGAAGAGTCATGAAATTTTTAGCACCCGCTGTTCTCCTAGGAAAGTATTCTCAGTAGTCTCAAATTTAGAGGCTTGTCAATCAGAGGCCATTAAGAGATGTGGCTTTGGTCGTATGCTTGAAGTCAAAGGAAGAATGCTCCAACGTGAGTTGTTGGAGATCCTTTTGAAGAGCTTTAATCTGGAAGAAAGCTCAATTCAGGCTTATGGGTTGAAAGTCCATATTTCGGCCAAAGATTTCGAGCGAATTATGGGCGTGCCTGAGGGAGGTACTGATATCATCTTGAATGGTGAAGAAGTGGGACGAAGATCCGAGGAATTGAATCCATTTAGAGTGTATTCGACAGTTGATTGTGCTCGACAGGCGATTTCGACAAGCTTAATGCGGAAGGCTTTGTCGGAGATGAAAGATAGCGGCGATCTATTTCTTCAAACGTTTATTTTGTACGTAATGGGGGTGCTATTAGTACCAACTAGAAGAGATGACTTTTCGTTATCTTCGGTATACGCTGTCCTCGATGTTGCCGATATTCCGAAGAAGAATTGGGCATCGTTTTGCTTCAATGAATTGGTCAAATGCATCTGCGACCATAATGCTGAGGGGAGAAAGTATATACCGGGTTGCTTGCTGTTCTTGGAGGTAAATAATTGCTAATCCCTACTTTCTACATATTTGTAATGATTAATCATCATGTTGATTATAGTATTTTTTTTGTAGTTAACATTCTTGGAGCATGCAAATGGTATTTTCGAAACAATTGATAGGAGTTTGGATTTGTTGAGTTGGGGGAGCGGAGACGTGGAGTTATTGTTAACAAAAGTGGTAAGACTGATAGTATATTTGATTCTTTTGACGAGTTGGAGCATGCTAATGGTACATTTGGTTCCCTTTTTAATGAATTTGTAGGTTTCCAGCAGTTCGGGTAAAAGATCAGCTGAGGATGCAGGTTTGAAATCACCTGCAAGGAAACGGGAAAAAAGAGATGGGAAACGGCAAAAACCCGACGGTGATGAGCTGCTTCTCTGTGAGCATATTGACGCTCGGTTTACTACCATGGAGGGTAGAATTGACAACTTTAGGCAAGAATTTAGAGTTGCAATGGGTGATGCTGCTTCTAGAGAGAATGAGCTAATGAGTCGGGTTGTGAATATGGAGAACGAATTTCGGGCTTTTAGAGACGAAATTGGTAGTCAAGTGAAGTCCATTATAGAGGCAGTGAAAGCAACTATAGGTGATCCGTTGTCACGGGAGCAGCCTACTGAGTTGAAAAAGAACGATCAGAAGGATGAGGCCGATAATGTGAAAGCTTCTGCAGCTGTTTTGTTGTCAACGGAGCAGCTTATCAGAGGGGAAAAGGGCAATCAGAAGGCTGAGGTTGAAAAACCAAGTGAACCCATTTCTCCTACCTCCGAATCTGTCAAGACTCAAGGGTTAGGTGTTAAGAATTGGGGAGAAGCTGAGGGGGAAATTGGAGA